ACACACACACACACACACACACACACACACACACACACACACAGCAAAGCGTTCATGTGATCTTTAGTAAGAGACGGTGAACCACAGCCACCAAAACTCCTGCAGCTCCCACAACACGCACTAATGACAGACTGGCGCTGGCTCACACATCAGCATCGGAGCAACAACAAGCTCACGGCTTGCAGGAAAATACAGAGGAAGCTCATGCTGAATGTAAGCTCATGGTACAGCAATAGATACATTTAGAGCTAGGTCACTATGATGCCTGCTTTATAGATCCTGCTTAGAGATGCCACACTACAAGGATGAGGAAATGATGTGGTTTAACCATGTGACGCCATACTTCAAATTCACACTGTTTACAAGAAATGTACGAAACTGTCTATCAGTGTAACAGTTGCCCTCAGGTGAAGTTCCGTCCTTGATGTATAGCGTTTCCAGTGACCTACATTTAAAAGGCAGCAGTCGTACTGTTTGACTTCTGTTTGACTTCCACTCCGGCCAACGGAGCGGTTGAACTCGTGACATCTTGTCTTAATTATTTATTCACTTGAGTGTCTAAAAGAGGCGCCGGGTCTGCAGGTAGCTGCTGAAGATCAGAGAAATGGTGAACACTGAGAAGTAGAACAGGAGTATTTTGTGAGGTGAACTGTATGTTAGTCATAAAGCAGACTCTACTATATTATTTATTGTTTACACGCTCCAACCGTTCTCCTTCTAGTGGTTTAAAGGTATAGGTTTGGTTTTATTTGACCAGGTTTTTGTTTTCTGCCTTTGTCCCATAGATAAAGAAGGTGAATAGAATTACCTTTATAATAAACAAATACAATTCATCTGCATGGCTAGATAACACGAGAAGTGAGTGAGAAAATGTGTTTTTTCTTGTAAATCTGGTGAACCAACTTTTTAACTGACACTTCAAACTTCACTGTTTGAGTTGTAGTCATAAAAGAAAAGCAGAAAAAGAAAGACTAAAAACGAAAAATGAAAAGTACCTGTCGGTCGATATACATCAACACACTACAATACAAACTGTATGGACAGCTGTATTAAATCTTAGGGTAAAAACTCACTGTTCCAGCAGTTGGTCATATCTGGACTGAGTGTCTCTCTCAGAAGACACCTCTCTGTCCTTCTCCAGCACTGCATTGTCTCTGGCCTCACGCAGGTTCCTGGTCAATAACACAAACACAACAGTAGATAATTAAAAAAGCTTTTATTCTTTTGAAGTCATGTTGCTATTTCCTTTTATTTTGATGCTACTGGGAAGTACCTGTGCTCACAGCTCTTCCTCTTATTAAATGTTTGCATATTCACTGTTTCAGTTGCTGACTGATGCTGTATTGTATACTAGATGAGCGGTTGAAAACAAAGACATCGTCTTCACTATTGCTGGTGTGAGCACAATTCATCTCTTCCCCAACACAATGCTCACATTTAATAAATAAGAATGAAGCTTCCTGCAATAATATAACAGACAGCATCTGCACTTGATTTTTTAGGAAAGACTGTCACGAAATTACTAGTTTTTAGATACACAACACAGGCCTTGTTTCATTAGCTAGATAATGTTAACAAAATGTGCAACTTCCTCAAGTTTGAATAGCGTCCCTGATATGTTTTTACTAACATTCAGAGTTATATATAATAAAAAAAGATACCTGTTCTCCCTCTCGTACATCTCCCTGGAGGTTCTCTGCAGATTGTCTATCTCGTGACTGGTTTTCAGCCGGATGTTCTCCAGCTCCTCTCTCAACTTGGTCTCGTACTCTGACTTATAGCGGTCTCTGTAAAAAAGGATTGGAACATCTTAGGTCTCCACATTAAAAACACTAGAATATTGGCTGCTGGTGTGAAAACAGCCGAGTCTAACCTGGATGCCACATATTTTTCGTAGGCGTCCTCCCTCGCCTTCTTAGTGTCTTCTAATTGCACCTAGACCACAGAATCAAGAAGTGAGAGCACGTTAGAAGACTCCTTCCTGTTACTGAACATCTGTTGTATTAGCCGAGCCTCCGGGCTGATCAACTGTACGAACCTGCAGCCTCTCCAGGCGGTCTTCTCCATGTGCACAGCGGACACTGAGCTCCATGTTCTGCCTGTGTAGATACTCCTTGTCCTTCTGCAGGAGAGTCACTGACTGCTGCGACGTTGCCACCTGGAGGAAAATAAATGAACTATTACAGAATAAAGTACACTCAAAGAGACTTCAGTGAGAGTTATGGAGAGAAATTATCGGTGTAGGTGTGCGTGAAGCACCTCTTTGCTGAGCGTGTTCCTTTCTCTGGTCACTGCTGTGTGAGTCACGTCTAGTGTCTCATATCTTCTCTTTAAGTCCTTTAGTTCTGCCTCAAAGCTGTCACACTCACTATAAACCACAGTGTGAAAGGTTAACATGCATTCGAACTTGCAACAGCAGAACCCTCGTCCTCATCACACACACACACACGCACCGTTTGATGGCAGGGTAATTGTCCCGGCGATAATCTCCTTCTTGGATCAGCTGTTTGGTATCGGCCAGTTCTAGTGTCAATCTCTGGCTCCTCAACTCCAGCTCGGTACGTAGCCGGCGCTCCTCCTCGTAGCTCTGTGGGTACAAAGACAAGTATTCACGTAATTAGTTATACTATGCAATAAGCATAATAGGTCATTATACCTCCTGAACACTCCACATTTTGATCGGCCTACATTTTTTCCAGGTAGGAATTCAGCAAGAATACCCGTCAAGAAAATTTCCACAAGCATCTCGCCCCATGCTGCCGTGACAGTGTCGTACAGTCCCTGCCGATTTTCTAATAGCACATTCATGTTGTGAACATCACAACCTTTTTGTGGAGTCATCTTGAGCTGATGGGTAATTTACCTGCTGGATGTGATGTGTTTGTTTTTTTTGCCAGATTCCTACCCTGCTTTCAGCATGTTGGGTCATTATCTCATCAACGTGTCATTTATGCCTAGAGGGTGCCTGCTGACTTGATGGCATTTTTTTTGGTTCATCACACCACTCTCATTCTAAACACTGCAGGCTGTGAAAATGAACATTTTGTAACCGACACGTCTAGCATTAACAGAACATATTTCAGGTGGCTTTTGTGTCTTCCACGTTTTCACATTTAGGTTAAAAGGTAACTGAACCTCTTGACCTTTTCTGCATTCTACATGCCTATGCTTTCTAAATATGTGACTCAATGCCTGAAGGAGTGGTTGTGTGTTTAAAATGTGTTTGTTCTGGAGCGTTTGCACAATGCAAAAAATGCAGCTGATTGGTATTGTGGGCTTAAATTTGTGCTCACCAACTCAAAGTTATGTTTAGTTGAACTTTACAGTGTACACAGTCTATGATTTTGACATGAGGTGAAATGGACATAAACAAAAAATGGTGATAAAACATACAGAATACAACAATGCGCAATGTGCTTGGCTTCAAAACAAGTGACCTCATACAGAAAGATGTGAAAATGCAACATAGAGGTGTCGTGTAGTGCAAGTGTGCTGTACCTCCATCAGCGACTTCATTTGGGTTCTGTGTGTATTCAGGTCATCAGTCAAACTGTCTCTCTTCACACCGAGCTCAGCCAGGTGAGACCGCAGAGGAGTCACCACCTCGTAGAAACGCATCTAACCACAGAGAGAAAAGGTCGCCATGTCAGCTTCATCATGCCCTCTATCATAACGTGTCTCTCTGGTCCGACAAGTTGGTGTAAAGACTAGGGAGAGCGCCCCCCCCATATACTTACAGCTACGTACTCCTGTATGGAGATCTTGTCGTCAGGGAGGTCGCGGAGCTCCTGGTACCGGTCCTGAGAGACGTCCAGGTCCCTGAGAGACCTCCGCAGCTCTCCAGCCTTTTCACACAGCTGCCGGTTGGTCTCCTCCAGCTGCTGCTGCCTCAGCAGGATGGCCTCCATCTCTTGCTTACGCAGAGCCTGCTGCTTCCTGGTGATGACAATCTCTGTCAGCACAGTTTACATTTGTGCTTACCGGCCGATTGATGGGATCAAGTTTTCATATTTCATCTTAACTGCCTCAGTGTGTGTGATCTTAATCAGAGTTTACTTGGAAGTCAATAATGTGTTTGTTAATTGTGTCTCAAGACACACAACCCTACTGTATGGCTAGATATATAGTAAAGAGAGAGAGAGAGAGAAAGAGAGATCACATTAGAGTATATCTGCCTGGATTTCACTGTCCATCACCACCATCAACCATGTCCTCACCTGTTCTCCTCTTGAGTAAGTTTCAGCTGGCTGTCCAGTCTCAGGGCCAAAACTTGTTTCTGATGTAGAGCATCATTCAGCCTCTCCTCCAGCTCCTCAGTCTGACATATAAAACACAATGCACGGACACAATCACAAGACTATTACTGCAACAAAGATCCTTTTGGAAATGGCAGTTACTGGGGACAAACTTGTGATAAGTCACGCCCACATATCCACATAAACACTGTGCAGCTTTCCTTTCCTTCTACCTTGGACATGTTGTCGGCCTTCATGTTGTCTATGATCAGGGTTTTCTGAGAGAGCTCAATTTTGAGCAGCTGGACGTTGTGCAGCAGCTCCTTCCTCTCGATCAGCTGGCGGGTCACCTTCTGGGAGCCGTCCCGCTGCTCGTCGGACGAGGAGACATCCTCGGTGGTGGGCACCGTTGTTTCTAGGCTGACGTCCTCCGACTCTAGGTCCAGGGAGCTGGAGACGTTGGCTGCTGTCGGCCTCAGCTGTTGCTTCTTGGGAGGCATTTTCTGTTGTTTTGGTCCTCTTTTTAGCGAGTTACTGGAGCGGAGATTGCGTGCTATTACAAAAGATTGTCCTCATACTCAAGAAAATTAGATATAAACGCCTAATTTAACGTTAAAGTGATACCCCGGAGCTGACAAGAGCACACGGTGAGGTGTTTTTGTTTTTAAGGGTCCCGCTCTGGGCCGCCTGTGTACCGCCAACAGCTCGACTACGATGGTGACAAGTGACGTTGACTACAGCGCCCCCTGCGGTAATGAACATGCACTACAACGAACGTCCACTTGTCTGTAGTTCATTTCTATGCACAGAGCATGCAGTACTTCCTCCTACAACATAGGGGGAGCTGTGAACTCGGACAACCGGTCCCTCTTCTGCCTTCTTCTGCTTTGTTTTCATTGAACAAGTATTGGATGGCCAACCAAAACTAACGTTGAACACCGATTTTTAAATTATTTTACATAAAAAAACGTTAAATCACGTTATGTATTGAGGCATAAGTTATGTATTATTTTCTTACATGGTTTCTTAATATATAGTAACATTTACGATTGATATCACCACCTGAAATCAAACTTCACGTGTTTGTCAAAACTCTGGGAAGGTTTCGTCGGCCCACTGAGTTATTTTACACATGGGCAGCTAACTCCCTGCTTGTCACCAAATGGTAGGAGAAAAACATCGGAATTTCATCTCTTGAGGAGTTAATCGTCATCATGTTGAAATCTAAAACCTTCGTGAAGAAGACTCGGGCTGGTGGGGTGATGAAGATTGTGCGCGAGCACTACCTGAGAGATGATATTTGGTGCGGAAGCGAAATTTGCGCTGAATGCAAACAGGAGTCCGCGGTGCTGCAGACAGACGCTTCCATTGAGAGCAACCTGTGCTCTTATCCACATTATGTGATTCCTGACACTAATGTTGTGCTGCACCAGGTAAAAAAAAATGTCCACACGGACTTGTAGCCCGAGTTGGTGGCTCCCATGTGTTGTGATAATACAAACTTTATCATCTCATCTTATGGTTATTGTGCTTCTAATATGTTAATACATCTATATAATCTTCTTTGTGTGTCTTTACATGACTACACTATCAGTATGTTGACATAGCTGCAGGGAGGTCTAATATAAATGTAGGGTATGGGGGTTTCCTTGATTCTTGGCCATTTTTATATCAATTTTTTTGTTGACACCCATACAACCTTTGCACCTGATTCTGGACAGCTCTGAGACTCTTCCCCCTTGTGTTTACAATGTCTGTGTCCTGCAGATTGACGTGTTGGAAGACCCCGTGATTCGTAATGTGATAATCCTTCAGACTGTGCTGCAGGAGGTTCGCCACCGCAGTGCACCAGTCTATAAGCGCCTGAAGGACATCATACATGAGAAAGAGAAACACTTCTACACCTTTACCAACGAACACCACAGGTACAAAGGCACCACGAACCTTTTTACTGCATCACGACATCTTAATTGCACAATAGTGATATGTAAAAGTAATCAGGGGAAAAGTACATTCCCCCTCACATTAAGATCTCCTTATTAGAACTCCCCTGTGATATACATTTGCTTGTGAAAAGTATGACTTTTGTCAACCTTACACATTCTTCCCAATACTCTCTATTCTTCCAGAGAGACATTCATTGAACGTGAACCCGGTGAGAGCGCCAATGACAGTAACGACCGCGCAATCCGCGTGGCTGCAAAATGGTACGGCCAGCACCTGAAGAAGGCCGAGTCCGAAGCAGACGGACTCAAGGTGGTCCTCCTCACCAACGATCAAGGGAACAAGCAGAAGGCCGAGGAGAGCGGCTTGCTGGTATACAGATGTAAGCGCTCTTTCTTCGGGGGGAAAGAAAATATGACGGGGAATAGCAGTAATTTCTTTCACATCGGTTTCCAAACACGCTGCATATCAAGAAGACAGCTTGTTGTAAATTCTACCACAACTTACAAAGGGGTTAACGGTCACTCTGAATGAACAACCACACATGCCTCCTCACTATTTCCTATTGTATTCTAGTATGCTTTCAAATGGCATCAGCTTCGTCACAAGTATTTATTCTCTTACGTTGCAGTTGAAGAGTACATCAAGAGTCTGTTAGGGAACCCTGAGCTTGTGGATCGTCTGGCTTTGTCCAATGATGACAAGGTAAACTCTAAAAGCTATTTCGGGATGCGTGATTTGTATCTGTACCCCCCCGTTTACGCCCCTGCCCTTTCTCTGTGCTCTTCTCCTTGCATTCATTTATTTTTCTTTCCTCTCTTAGCATGATATCACTAGCAGTAAGGTGTTATTCCCAGAGCACCTCCCCCTGTCCAGGATCCAAGCAGGAATCAAGAGCGGCACTTTCCTCCAGGGCACCTTTAGGGCCAGCAGGGACAACTATCTGGAGGCCACAGTCTTTGTTCAGGGAGAGGGGGAAGACAGCACAGAGGTGTGTGTGTGTGTGTGAGCGTGCATTCATCTGTAAATGTACAATGTTTGTCTGAACAATTATCCAAAATCTGGAAATGTAAGAATTTCTCAGACATCTACTGGGTTTTAGTGACAATTTGTCATGTCGTGGTTTTCCATTTAGCGGAATAACTACAAGTTAATTGACTGTAAAAACAAAATGGGAAAGCATGCAAACGTTTAAAGCTCCGTACTGTTCCTTCGTCTTGCTGCCAGGTTCTCATCCAAGGTCTTCAGAACCTCAACAGAGCAGTGTACCAAGATCTGGTTGCTGTGCAGCTGTTGCCGCGCAGTCAGTGGGTGGCGCCCTCCTCAGTCGTGCTGCAGGACGAAGGCGCAGCAAAGGACGATAATGAGGAGGACAAAGAGGAGGACGAGGAGAAATCAGTGAGTTTGGTATCAGGGTGCGGTGCTACACAAAAAGAGACTAATTGAATGACAACCCCAATGTGACTTTTGTAGTTGCAGTGTCTTAATAACCTTTGTGTTCCTGTGTGTTTGAGCAGTTGAGGATATCCGCAGCAGCTGAAGCAGCCAGGAAGCCCACCGGCCAAATAGTGGGAATCATCAAAAGGAACTGGAGGCCATTCTGTGGCATGCTCAATCTCTCCCAAATCAAAGAGGTAAGTCTCGACTTCTCTATAACACCGTATGTCATACACAGTTTATTTCTTGCTTGTTTTGAAAATTTGAAGCTGTTCATGAATCTCTGAATACTGTAGAAACTGTTAAGCATTTCCCTGTCCTATCCTCAGCCAACCATCTCTTTTCTTTCCTTTTTTTCTTACAGTCAACCCGACATCTCTTCACCCCGGCAGACCGGCGTATCCCGCGCATTCGCATTGAAACGCGCCAGGCATCCACGCTGGCAGGCCAGAGGATCATGGTGGCCATCGACGGCTGGCCCAAACACTCCAGATATCCCAATGTGAGTTGGAACCTCTTCGGACTGTCGAATCTTAGTTATCCTCCCTCTTCACTTGCCAAAGTTTGACAGAAAATGTAATTGTTTAGGTTTTATTATATTATATTTATATAAAGCTGCACTTCTCTAGCAAGGCATGTAATAATATGCACAAAAACACCAAGTCAGTCCATGGAGATAAATCAGTCCTTTCTTCTTTGTTAGGGCCACTTTGTGCGCAGTCTGGGAAATGCAGGGGATAAGGACACAGAGCAGGAGGTGCTGCTGCTGGAGCACGACGTCCCCCACCAGGCCTTCTCTCAGGCTGTGCTCAGTTTCCTTCCCAAGATGCCGTGGGCCATCACACCAGAGGTAATGAGATACACTCCGCATTATTCTGGCCACATCATTTATCGCCCTATGATTTGAAGGAACATGTGTTTCGGTCTGTGTATATATTAATGTTGATGTTTGTGGAACAGGACATGGGTAGGAGAGAGGACCTGAGGCCTCTGACGGTGTGCAGTGTGGATCCTCCTGGATGTACAGACATAGATGACGCCCTGCACTGTAGAGAGCTGGACAATGGAAACCTTGAGGTGCACATACTGGACACATACATTATGAAGTAGGAAAAAAAACATCTGTGTTTGTATTTCATATGGGCCTAAAGTATTTTATTGCTTTGTTTTGTAGGTGGGCGTCCACATCGCTGATGTCAGTCACTTCATCAGACCTGGCAACGCTATGGACAAAGAGGCTGCGAGCCGTGGCACCACTGTCTACTTGTGTGGCAAAGTAAGGAAACGCACACACAGACACACTTGCATCCGAGTGTTTTCACAATATCAGAATTTGAAGGTCACTACCAACATCCGCCTTCTTGTTTGGGAGCAGCGAACCTGTTTACAATGTAGTAAAACTATTTGACACCGTTGCCATGTTTTCAGCTGTTTGATTTTTGCTCCACCATCGTGGGCCCGATTACAGCTTAATCACACAAATGTCTCTTTTCACTATTCCATTCATCTTTTTTTATATCTAAATACAGTATATGCCCTGTGACGATGCCAAACACACTTAGTATTGAAAGTTTATTAGATTTATTTAATAAAATCAGGGCGGTTGTATTGAAAATTTGGATATTTCATGCTAACCAATAAGCTTACCGTTTACCACTAGATAGTTGATTTTAGAATTTGATTGATTCGTAAAAACATATTTTGAAAACTAAAACAATTTATATTGTGTGTCCATCAGAGGATAGATATGGTTCCTGAGCTGCTCAGCTCCAATCTTTGTTCTCTACGCTCCAATGTGGAAAGGTGAGGAGACACTAACATACACTAACACTCTCATCATAATAAATATCATCAGCGCTCTTTCAGTGAATAAACCGATGACTGTTTCGCTGTTAAAATGTTTGTCTCTGATTCAATTTTTTCTTACCAGGCTGGCTTTCTCATGTATCTGGGAGATGAACCACAAGGCTGAAATTATCAAGACCCGGTTCACAAAAAGTGTCATTAAATCCAAGGTAGAGTACCAACACACGATGTACGATGAAATGCACTCAATGCTTTTGCAGTTGATGTGTGAATTTAAATGCACTGTGATACTACCACCAAGATGTTTTCAGGTGTGGGTTTTGTTAATGTCTGTTCCCTTGTCTTACAGGCGTCTTTGACCTATGCTGAGGCCCAGATGATGATTGATGACTCCGCCAAGAATGATGACATCACCAAGAGCCTGCGAGGTCTCAACAAACTCGCCAAAGTCCTCAAGAGGAAGAGGATAGAGAAAGGGTAAGGACTGGAAGTTAGGAGTGATGGAGGCTGAAGAATAGATTTACAGAATGAAGGAGGATGCATTCTAAGGCTTTGGCCAGGAAATGTTATTAACAACTTAAAATAGAAATCAAAAGCACTGGCTGTATTCAACAGGAAGAGTGTTCTATGTCACATTTGATCTCTTTCAGGGCGCTGACACTGTCATCCTTAGAGGTCCGATTCCACATCGACAGTGAAACCCACGATCCCATTGACCTCCAGACCAAAGAACTCATGTAGGTGACTTCAAAAAGGAGCTTTCTGCAGAATCCTTTTTTATATATAACCCTTTTCTCCACAAAACTTAATTTCAATGTTTGTCCCGCTGTGTGTTTTGGACATATGCTTATCTCTTGTTTATTAGGGAGACGAACTCTATGGTCGAGGAGTTCATGTTGCTGGCCAATATTTCAGTTGCCCGGAAGATTTACGATGAATTTCCAGACTGTGCTATGCTGAGGAAACATCCAGCTCCGCCTCCATCGAACTACGACATCTTGCTCAAAGCTGCAAAGTCCAAGGTGAGCGGAGATGGATGGCCATGCAGAAAATGTCTTCTTGTCGTTTTAAGCTTCATGCTTGTCTGAGCTTGAGCTAATTTCATCAGTTTGCCTTGTTATGAATGGAGGATGTTGTCCATCAATTGGCAGTATATTCATATATCCAAAATGTGTATGTGAATATAATTTAAACCTGATTCCTGTCAACCCTGTGTGACCTTTTCTCTCCAGGATGTGGAGATCCACACGGATTCGGCGAAAGCCCTGGCTGACTCCCTTGACGTGGCCAGAGTGGACGGCTTCCCGTACTTTAACACGCTGCTGCGCATCTTGGCCACTCGCTGCATGATGCAGGCTGTCTATTTTTGTTCTGGCATGGACAGCGATTTCCACCACTATGGCCTTGCTTCAGCCATTTATACACACTTCACGTCCCCTATTCGGAGGTACGAAAACAGATATTCTTCACATCTTAACGAGATGTATAACAAAGACGTGCACAACTGAGACACTACAGCAGCACAGTTCTTACTAACTTCCTTATGTCTTCCATATTTTTCCCCTTTTCTCTCTATCTGAACCTCTACCTCCTCTTCATCTGCTCCTTTGCACAGGTACGCAGATATTATAGTTCACCGCCTGCTGGCAGTGGCCATAGCAGCAGACAGCACCTACCCAGACTTGATGGATAAACAAAAGCAGTCAGCGCTCTCCATCAACCTCAATTACAGACACAAAATGTCACAGTACGCACAGAGGGCATCTGTGGCCTTCCACACACAGGTAAACAAAATGTCTTCTTCAGCGTTCGGTTGTACTCAGCTCCACCCTCTCCTGTCACTTCTGGTTGCAAAAAACCAAGATGGTGACGGCCAAAGTGCCAAACTCGTGACTTCAAAGCCGTAGTCCACAAACCAATCAGTGCGCCTCTTATTTATAATCTATGCCAGAACCATCGTGATAAAGAATTAGCTGTTCGTTTATGACCCAATGAGCCTTTGGAATCCAACAGACCTCTCACCATACTGCATCATTCACCATAAAGTCATGCTTATAATGCAAATGATCTTTTTCCAGTTGTTCTTCAAGAGCCGAGGCATTCTGAACGAAGAGGGATTTGTTCTGTTCGTGAGGAAGAACGCAATCATCGTACTCATCCCAAAGTTTGGCCTGGAAGGAACGGTCTTCTTTGATGCCAAAGACAAGGCGGGCCCAAACCTGTATTTTGATGAAGAGGTATAAAGTTTTTAGTTTTTTTTTTTTTTTTTTATAGCTGGTTAGATCAACACTGTTAAACTAAAACTATCAGAGGATGCTGTGCTTTAAAGATCTCTTCTATAAATGTTTTTAGGGTCCCACTCTGAAAGTAGAGCAGCACACCTTCCACATATTTGACAGGGTGAAGGTCACCATCAGCCTGGACGCCTCCAACATTCAGCACCAGAAGATCCGCATGTCTCTGATTGAGCCTGTGGTAAGGACTGACTAACGACCAGTGGTACACAGTTATGGCTACCTGTACATCTTTCATTTTAGCCAAAGAGATTTGTCTCTTGAGGAAGGTCAACATGTTGTTTTCAGTTTGTTGAGAATTTACTCAAAACTAGCAGCCTTTTAAGTTAATTTTCTTTATTTCAGATCTCCGGTGTGAGTGTTCCAGCCCCAGATGTTGAACCACCGGCCAAGAAACCAAAGCTGGACCACTGACGCAGAAAGCAGAGCAGCAATTCACCCGAACCACCAGATCAAGAAGTTGCAAAAGTCTATATACGTTGACTCTGTAAACTGTTATATTTTGAGCAACGGTGCCCATTTTAATGAATCAACCCGTGTGAAGCTGCACCGCTCTGCTCTTTTTATATGATGCGAGACACTTGTTGGTACATAGAACAGTGGAACTTGTCAACAATGTAGTTACAAGCAATAAAGTGTTATTGTTTTTACCTAATAGTTTGTGTTATGTAAGCCCAGTGTGATTAAATCTTCTGGTTCATAATGGAGACAAGTCGTTATTGTCCACAGCGGTACAAAATTTACGGCATGTGATCGGGTGCCAGGTGATCTTCTAATTCAACGTGTAAATAAATGGATTTCATTCTGTAATGTACACAAGTTGCCAGAGTCCATAAAAAAGCATCAAAATAGACTAATTTAAAAAAAGAGCCAGGGATGGATTTGTAATGTTTATTCATTTTATCTGTGAAATATCAAAGTTTGTTTATTATCTGGCTCCTGGCCCCGAGCAATGCAAGTAGAGTATCCGTGGTCCAGTCCTGTTTGCTTACCACAGTGATGTAACCATTAGGTCAGGATACACAGAATACATTGTAGAAACTACCAACTCAAAAACAATGTCTTCTATATATATATTTTTTTTTTTTAAAGACAAATGGCTCAATCAGCTTTTCATTGGCTAGTGGCATTATTCAGGAATAAATATAACAATCCAAATAAGATCCACAAGCAATCTGTATTAACAATAAAATCATAAAAAAAGAGAAATCATGATAAACTGTTTTATAAAAAGATAAATACAGTACAAATCTGATGTCATCTGAAAGTCAAGTTATCAGGTTGATCGTGTCAGCGACGAATAAAAATGAAATGATGACTTCAGCGTCAATACAGCATTCAAGGAGATTACCATTGTGCAAATTTAATACAGAAATACTTTTTTTCTCTTCCCCTTTATCACACCAGTAATCAGTACTCGGTCCATAAGAACTGTTGACTTATAATAATTGCTTATCAGTGTCTTACACTGGGATTAAGAGGGGCTATGGGTTAGTATTCTCCCTTCCAGCCTGTGATGAAACACTATAGTATGACAACGTGAACTTTAAACCTTAAAAATATTAATAACCAGTTGAGAAACCCCTCAGTTCAAACAGACACCAATCCCCCCTAACCAAATCAATGCAACATAAACGCTTCAAAACAGTGTAAACTTTGTTGCATTTGGTTACAAATGAATCATCTTAAGCTTCCAGTGGAAGAGGCGTCCCTTTAAAATGCATCGATCAGATGGCTTAGTGGTGAGGATAAAATACCTGGAAAATGAGAATCTTATTGTTAGTGACATGAAAAGTAAAATGAAAAATGAATTAAAAAAAAAAAATGTTTGTGAAGTCTGCATGACAATTTCAGGATTGTGTTTTAAATAAGTGCTGATACTGCATTAGCTCTAAAGACACAAACTCACGTATCCATCAGTCTGTGTGTAAAGGGTTAACTTACCTTTATTTTAGTGTGTCGAGTCAGTTGCAAGGCTTCTTCTGCCAGGTTTGAACTGAAGGACTCTTTGCTGTGACAGTCAGAGCCGAGGCCGTCTATAAGGCTGGCAGTGCCTGCTGAGGTAGTGTTGTAACCGCTGTCCACCTGAATGCACCCGAGAAGCAGACAAACATCTCAACATGAAAAGACAAATAAGAACTTAAATATAATCGTAAAACAAAGAAAAGAACAAAGCAACTGAGTTCTGCTCACACGAACCTGCATGCTAGAATCGTAGCGTATGCTGCTTCCCTCTGCCAGAAGAGACGCAAACATACGAGAGCTTTCTGTTGCCGACACATTGCCCATACGAGAGCTGGTCAGCTGTGCCGAAAGCCCCGCACCTTCCTCCTCTTCATCCTCCAACCTCCCTTCCGTCTCGGCCTCCCTGCCCTCCTCCATGTTCACGGGTTCCATAGGATCCAAGCTAACTCTCTCAGCGTCAGCGAGGTGTGCGTCGCGGGCCAGCGGCGAAGTTGGATCTAGCTCCATAAGGGGGAGAGAAGAGGAGGAACAGGAGGAGGAAGATGGAGAGAGGAAGGGGAATTGATGCTCAGCCTCCTGATTGTCTTGAAGCTGCGGGTTGAGGATCGGGGAGATGAGGGGTGGAGAGGCCCAGCAGCGGACTCTGGGCCGGGGCTTCGGTCTGGCGTTGTGCTGGGACTCGTTGTGGCAATGCAGCTGGTGCGGGGAGCAGCTACGGATGGGTGAGCAACCCTCGACAAATGGACTCACGTTGCAAGGAGTGACATTTTTGTCCAGGGGAACACCCAGTGGAGTAAAATTGCTCGGCAGCTTCCTCTCAGCTAAAGAAAGAACAGAGAGTTAGATTCCGTTTGAAGAGAAACAATAAACTTGAAACAATTCTTCCTTATTCCGTATGCGTGACAAAACATATAGTCTACCTGAGCATATGGGTGTGCGTGCTGCATGTGCAACAATAGGCGAAACTGTGGGCGAGGCGAGGCCAGCGTGAGACGACTTATCAGGGAACAGAGGACTGGGGATGCTGCCGAGGCTGCAGTCCCGGAGGCAGCCGTGCTGGATGGGACTGGACGAGAACTGACCCTATAGTAAAGACAATGCAAAGTGTTCATTTACTAAACAATTTGATCCAAATATAAGGGAAAAAAGACATTAACTCCTTGCTAAAAAGCACTTTTAGCTAAAAGGTTAGTTACTCACGTGCTGAATAGATTAGGCAATAAACAGAATGTGGATTCTGGGAATAATCATCATTTGCATCCCTACACATCTCCACTCACCGTAGAGGGAGTCAGAGCCGACACGCCGCAGGACAAAGGGGAGAAAAAGACAGCGTCTCCCTCAGAACCTGCGACCCGTCCTAAGGATCCCTCTCCTCGGTGGCGAGAAAGCCTCTCCTCCGTGATGTGGCTTCTCTCTGGGCTTGGTGGGCTGGAGCTGTCGGAGCCGCTATAAGTGCCCCGGCCATCGAGGAAGAGTTTCCGTCTCAAGGAGGAGGAACTAAGACTCTCCTGCACAGCATCGCAGGCTTCATCGCAGCGGTAATAATCCCCTGAGGAGAGGGTAGAAAAAGACAGTGACTTGACAGTAAAATACTCTCTGAATTTATTGTACGGATGTTTATTTAAGGCTTACCCAGTACTTTCTCCAAATCGAAAGCCAAGGGTAATGAAAGAGTTGTCTGACAAGCAACTGTAAAAGAAACATTATAGAAATGAATCAAAAACAAGTAAGAAGATGGTGTAGACGATTGAACACTATTTGTAGAAAGTGATGTCAAAACCCTCTCAAAGATAACACCAACCTGAGACTCTTTCTGGCTCCTCTGCAATCATTGCAGACTTACCTACAAGTGCACAATACAGAAACATGAACAAGAAATGCTTAAATAACATACAAAACCAAAATAAAGGCAAACAAAAGGGATGACAATGGGACTAGAAAAGACTTTAGTCGTTAAAAGTGAAATAACAATCAGATGAACTTACTTTTCGTGTACATCTGTGGGCCTTTACGAGCTTCTGGTGCTGCCCAGGGCGAGGGCACAATGGCTCCTTTGGTGAAAAACTTTATTGGGAGACAGACAATTTACATCATTTACAAAATGAATCAATAAATTGTGAATATATTAACTCATCTATCCAATGTGATTTGCTTTGATAAGAATCTCATACCTGCTCAATAGCATTCTGTCGCTTTTCCTCAATGTCAGAATCCATCCTAGATGGGTGGAGAACACATTCGACACAATTTGCATTTAACACACCAGGATATGACTTTTACTCACAATGGCGTCCTTGATACCTACTGTCACTACGGTGTTTCACAACATACCTCGTCTGGCTGAGGTAAAAAGACTGCCGCTGGATGTCCTCTGGGTCTATGTGCACTGGGATAAGACTGGACATCTCATCAATAGACCAGTTAAACTTGGGTGGAGTCTGAGGGAGAAACAGAGGAGGAAGTGAGTAGAGCAAAACAACATGTGGACATATGACAGGACTTAGATATTTGCAGTAAGGCCACATAGTAGTAGGTCTAAATATTTGAGGGGATGGGTGTGAGGTGTTCAAACTGACCGTTTTACAAGGCTTGGACTTAAAGACAGAGGGGCTTGGCACCAGGGGTTCACGGAGGTGGTGGTAGTCATTGGGACTTTCAAACGGGTTTCTTATTGAAGGCCTGCCTGGAGTCTCCGGAGTGATCTGTAACGTTAGCTCGACACAGTCCCCCATCTTAGGTCAAATATTCCCGGTCTGCATGAAGGAAAAGGACATTTCAGACAAACAATTGACAAAGGCACAGTCCACTCAAACGACAGCTTTTGGTAAGTCAACGTTCTTTAAGTTACATTACTTCCCCTGTTAGCTTCAGAGGAAGCAATTAGCTAGCTTTAACTCTGTCCTCTTTCGTAACACACCACTTTACTGAAACATAAAAGGTACATATTAAAATTGGCTAACGATAAATAAACATACACCATTGATACTTACAACTAACTGTTAAATGAGCCAGGACTTTGAACACCCAGCTAAATGCATTGAGTAGTCGGCAAACAATCGTCAGGGAGAGAGTTCAAACCAACGTTTATTTCAATTTCCCCCATAAGGCCCACTAGCCAATAGAAACATTGCAGGAAGTTCTTGGCAACCAATCAACGAAGACATGTCACGTCACTTCCGCCGACAGTTTCGTGTGTTAGCTTAGCAGGCACGGTAGCTAACTAGCTGCTAATGCAGTCCCTTAATGACAGTGCTTTTCAATTATTTGGGAGGTCGTATCTAAAATGAATGCGACACGTTTAACGTCTGGTTTAGCTATTTAAAAAACATAATATTGTATCGCGTAAGATACTTCAAGTTGTATTAGTTAGCCACCTGCTAGCAAGCGTTTACTAACGTAATTAAGACTAACGTTATTTAGACTAACGGTACACTATGGCAAGTGCAGCAAGCGCAAATCTAAACGCAGTCCGGGAGACCATGGACGGTAGCGTTAAATATATATTTTACATCAATGAGCATGCAGTGGTTTGTGTATTTGTAAAAAATAGTGTTTTTGCTAACCCCTAGCTTGCTTGCAATCGTATTGCTAACAAATTGCATAGGACGTGAAGCTGTCCAATGTTGTATTGTGACTAGAAAATGAACCTCAATAATGTTTTGGTAACTCAACGTGACGCCTTCTTCCTCCAACAGTGCTCCTCGAGATCTCCAGGTTGCTGAACACAGGTTTGGACATGGAGTCTCTGTCGATATGTGTGAGGCTGTGTGAGCAAGGCATCAACCCAGAAGCTTTGTCTGCAGTCATCAAAGAGCTGCGTAAAGCTTCTGAAACCCTCAAGGTACAGAAACAGGCTCCCAAAGAGCTCACTTTAGTTTAATAACAATAACATAAACTAACTAACACTGTTGAAGAGAAACTGTTGTGGACTGTAAAGGAGGGTTAAGTCCCAGTCCTGTTTACTAACCTCAGTAACATGCTTCACAGTGATCTCATAATTTATCATGGTGATGCATCACTGCCACTTTTGTATTTGTTTTCTCTTTCAGGCTCCTGAAAACTGCACTAACTGAAGATGCAGCCCGATCGTCTCAGTTTGAACTCTAATGGGATCAAGCCCCATTCCTGGATCTGTACCTACGACGGGCTCTCCAGCCAATCAGATATGCCTGTGTGTCGGCACTGTGTCCTCTGTGCTTTGACTTGTGTCTTGAGTTGTTGTGTGGAGGTATCAACCTCGGTCCTCTTCCTAAACACAAATCTTCTCCCGACATTAGGGCATGCTCGGCCATTCTGCCTCATATTTGCTTGCAAGTTTCTCCTCCGGCCATTTATAAAGTGGAAGATCAGAATGGTTTTAGCATTGACATCCTGCCTCAATTTAAGAGCATACTTTCAATTTCTGATAGTCAACTTGTGTTGCACTTTTCATGAGAATTTTTTTTAATGATGTTGTGAAATATCATTTGCTATAAATTGTATTTTAATTTTGTGTATGCATAATGCATTTTTTGACTTAAACCTTTTGATATTTCCATTGTCTGCTCAATTAAGCATCAATGATGGCTCAAAGTCTAAATTAAAATGTTGCTGTCAATGACCACAAGGTGGTGTTGTGTCATTCTTATTCTTATCTGAGACATAGGTGTTTATTAGGCGTTATGTTTTAATTCTGTGTTTCCACTCTCACAGTTTCCCTGATGTCTGAGAGCAGTGAAATACTGAGACTTCATCGGGTACTTTTCAAATAATAGTTTCCTTATTTAACGTGATGTCTTTTTTCCTATGCGGCCTTGATCCCATTGTAGAACAACAAAGCATTTTTCCCCAGTGATGTAATTCTTAATGGCTTTCAAATGGGACTTGAAATTTTCTGAAGGATTGTGCAAAGGAAATGATCTTTCCTGTCACACTAGGTGAAAGGGAAAAAGATACAAACACGGCGCATGCAGGGGTGATCACATCAAAATGTACAAAAGACATGAACAAGGGTCATTCTTTACAGCAGGATGTCCTGTTGATCTTAAATCTTACCCCCTTAATGTCTATCAACACACACACAAAAAAATAATTTGAGATTTATTGCAAACTTTACAAAAAAAACGTGTCTTTGATCAAGCAGAAATGAAGCCCCTACATCATGTGTCTCACCACACAGAGCATTGTTTTGTTTCTCCACCGTCTGTGAAATAGCTCTATTCATCTTCGAGACGAGGGAAAATGCTGAGAGCACAAAACATTCCTCCACAGGCCAATATACAGGCTAGAAGCGACCTCTCATCCGAAAGGGCTCGAATCAGTAGCTTTTGAATGTGTGTGTGTGTGTCCCTCCTGTGTGTGTGAGAGTTTAGGTGTTCATGCAGCGCTGTAGATGTCTACAAATGAGTAGCCCCCAAGCCATCTGACAGTCACGCCTCACCCCTCACAGGCACACCACAGAGAAAGCCAGCGAGCGAGCAGGAGAGTGCACGAGTGTGTGTAAGCAGTTCTGTCTTCCTCTGCTTTGTCTCGCCATCTTGACTGACAGGCCGTGAGTCTAAATCTCTGTACCGCTGCTTTGATCTCTTAACACAGTATCTCTGTGTTCCTCAATACCAGCATCGTGTTAGCCAAGTATGAGAGGCATACAGATACGGCGCAGTGGCTCTCCTTGATCGCTCGTTGAGCCTAAACAACCTCTGGCCTCCATGGGGGGGCGAGCTGCAGGAGATGTTGACGGAGGGAGACCCACATCGAGGATCCTTTTCTATTACAAAGAGTTATGCATGGCTTGATTGGCTACTGTGTGCGTGAGATTCAGGATTCATTGCTTTCTGTTTGATGTGTTTGAAGGGTTTCTCCTGATCCCAGCCAGATACTTTGATCTCTATAAAACAAAATATTCTCAAATCCCATAGTCCTGCCTGAGAGATTAGCGTCCATATATGCATAAACATCTAAGAGGTGTTCAACTAGGCCACTGGTCAGGTCACATGACTGTATCAACGAAAGCAGGTCCTCACATCTGAACTTCTAAAGGTGTTTATGTTTGTATGTCTGATAATTATCCAGGCAGAGGATTATTTTTCTGATAAATGAGGGCAGTCTCATTTAAAAGTGAAAGATTACGGTTGAGGTGTGCACAATGGATATTACAAAAATAATTAGACTGGACTGATTAGAAGTTTCTTATGCATAAGGAAAGATGGTCTGTTGATGTTTGTACGAAACTAAATTACAAACACAGTGTCTCATGAAAACAACTACAGTGTAGAGTAGAAGGAGAGTTTAAGCAAAAGTCAAAGATCTCTATGTGCACAGTTATATTTAGGTTACTAATTACCTTTAGCAATAAACAGGTAGGTCTAATGGTCTCCCTGCAGGGAAAAGGCTTTGTTTGTTATGTCCATTTCATTGCAAATTATATGATAATATCATGGCTAGAATATTAAGTTTTAAGACTTTATTACTGATGAGTTTGTCTGGTTAGATGTACAAAGAAATAACTTGAGTGGTGTTTTAGGACAGGAACTTTTTCAATTGTTGAGACAAAATATCTAAGAAGTTATTATCTTGGCTGTCAGATGTTTCATTGTTGACAAGGTATTTTTGGTGTTTAATAAATCCATGTGGGCTGGGAATTTGTATGACACATAATATTTACTCATGTATCAGGTACTTGTCCTTTACTTAAGTATTTTTATTGTATGCCACTTTATGCTTCTACTCCATTATATATAGTACTTTAATATAATTTGGGGTATATAGTATTGTTAACTCCACTACTTTTATCCGACAGCTGTAGTTATTTTGCTGCTTAAATAGTTCAAAAGACTATAATATGCATATAAAATATGATGCATTGTGATACACTAGATTTAACCACGGTGTGTAGAATGAGTGGAATTGTAGCTCCACAGCGGCTTAAGTTTAACATCTTCAACAGACCATGCCGATTTCATTTCTTACAATTACAATTTTGAAGGCTGGACTTTTACTTCTAATGGCTGACAATAAATTACATAACTAACTAAATGGATGGCGGTATTTTCTAAATCCTCTGAAATCCAATTATTGACACCGTAGATCAGTGTACAGAGATCATACTTTATATAGGTCTGTATATCGAACCCTCATCCTTCAGCACTGTGAGGCTTCACTGACTGCTTTTTCCCCAAGAGGAGCTCTGTGACCTTGTTAGATCTTCCTCCAATGCACCACCCTTGATCACATACAGGCCGCACTTAAACACCGTAGGATTATACTATTTAGGTCCCAATTAAATTCACAGCAAGGAAATTGGATCATAAACTCTTTAAAGGATCGTTAACAATCATTAGACAGGATAATGGCATGGCAATCAAAATATGTTAAAAATAATAAAAAAAACTTCCAAAGTCTTTTCGTGACTTTGTTATTTTTGGACATTTTCCAAGCTGATTAATGTAGAATTGATTGATTTACAGTTGTAATTAGCTGTCTCCTGCATAGATGCATAATAATCATATATCTCCCTGCTTGTTTGAAAGTATTAATTGGTTTCATTAACAAAAGCAGTTAATTGAATAACAATTAACAAAGTTGGTGATGGCATCGACGTAGCGCGTGCAAACTCCCTTGTGTTTTCCTTATGATGATAATGAAACCACCTTTTTATCAGATTGGAATTTTGTGTGTTGGACTATGTAATGACTAATATGATATTGAGCTTATTAGTTTATTCGAGTGGCTCACTGAGGCGTTAAGCTGATGTTGAGCACGTTGTGTTTAACAGGTAGGCACCATATGCTGCCTTAATCAGACATTGGAATCACATTTGGTTGTTAAATTGTCTTCCAATAAAAGCAGGTAGTAAAACAACTCAAGTTAATTCAATTTCAGGCGAGTTTGGGTGAAGTGAACAGCTGTCCGTGTTTGTTGAATTGTTTTAACATTCCCTCTCTTGTTTTTTTTGTTCTTCCTTTTTTTTTTTTTAAAAGGTTTAACTGCAACAGCCTGTTTGTTCTTCAACTTTTCTTGTAGAAAATAGAGATGGAGGGTGGACTAGCTGTCCACTCTCCTTAAAAGAAGACAATGCCAGGCATATTGTAGTGACAGCTTGCATTGTGTGTATGTGTGTGTGTGTGTGTGTGTGTGTGTGTGTTTAAGAGAAAGAGAGAGGAGACGGGACAGAGCATGTGTGCGTGTATGTTAGAAAAACAGCAAAATAGAGAATGTGTGTATGTGTGTGTGCATGTGTGTTGCAGTGACAGCTTGTATTCTCCGTGATTAATGATGTGCTGTGTGACTTGATAAGTGCTTCGGAGGACCAACGCTTGTTTCAATTAGACCTTGTGAAGGTCGCGACGCCGTGCCGGCCTCTCATTATCATATCCATAATCAATCCACATTATCAGAGGAGAATGTGGAATGGATGTGTGATATCTTGGTCATACACACACATTCGGAGATGAGCGCACACACAGACACCTAATCACATACCAAAACACAATGACGTACACTCTCACTCACAAGACCACGCACACACACACACACACACACACACACACACACACACCCTTCACTCCAAGTTGATTTGAACCATAACAGTGGCTGTCGGAACGGATTGTCTGTTCAGATTAAGAGTGTGTTTCTGAGAATTAAGCAGCGTTGATGGTGGTGGCATTTCAGATCCCCTCTGCAGACACAAATGCCAAAACATCATTCTGTCATCCCCTCCTTCTCTCACACACACACTCGCATACGCACACTTAACCAGGACCCTGGGGCATTTTTAATAGAGGCGAAGTGATTCGTATGTTTTTACTCCTCTAATGAGAACAGATTGAGTGGTATTTACACTTCATCGGCTGATCTAACCACCTACACATTTCCCTCATGCTTCTGCTGCTCACTGGCCAAAACAGACATGTGGAAAGGACCAGAGCTTGGCTTTCAAACAGCAACACAACATGAGTATTATCTCCGTCTCTTTGGCTCATGATGGCACTACGGCAAGATAAATATGAACAGGAAAACTGTAGCTAGATTTAGTTTCTGAAAGGAGGCTGTGTGTATTTGTCTCAGACAGTTAAAATGCTGAGGAAAAGGAGTCTGAAACCAGATTCATATCTCTGGCAAGCACATTGGTCCAGGGAATGTTTCATTTAATCAGTAAGTCTACCTGAGCTCAAAACATAGGCCCTACAAAAACGGCAAACACAGGTCACCTATTTCATCCAAAAACATTCAAACAACAAGCTAATGTAGACTAAATGATACAATAACATGAATCAAGGCAAAAATCACACACTACTGGGGCAATAATATGACTCAAAGATATAAAAAATTAATCAACTCTGTAATATTCAGTGCAGGGAGAATTTCCCCCAGGTGGTCAGGATTGCAAAGTCTGATGAGGGGAAACTTAAAGTACTTGAACTAGCATCGCACTCCTCATTCTCAAACTCACGATGGACAGTTAAAATAAAGGATAATAATCGATGCAGCAGAAGCAGAAATATCATCTTTTTTTTCTTCCATGCATCCTTTTTTCTTGTAAAAACCTGCTGCCTACGTTACCCTCAATGCAACTTGATCGCAGACAGTTTAGTCTGAGATCTGGGTGTGTTATGCTAGTAGCGGCTAATGTGGCCCCGAGCCGCTGCGCTAGCCTCATGCACAGCGAGCTACAAAGGGTTCATTTATTTTCTAACTCCACACCCGCAGATTATTTTCATTTTCAAACTTGTAGTCTTCAGTCCAAGCCGATGCTGACTCAAGTGACATCACTTCACATCACAAAAAAATACTTGGCAGGTGATTGGATGAACCACCTGTCAATCAAAGTCCGGCAGAAGCCAGTCAGGTGAAGAGCTAAAACATCTCTTCCTTCGAGAAAAGCCTTGAGCGTCTAATATAACTGATGTTATTGCAGCATTTACGCTCGCTTCGTTATAGGAGCCGCCGTTATTGCTTTGAACAAAGGAACGTCACACACACCTACACCACGCCTGTAACTGCCAGTATCTCCTCACTGAAAGCTATCCGACCACTGTGGTTGTGACACAAATGCAGTATGCTACTAGATGCCTAGATGCCTAACAAGATGGATTTTTGTGTGATCTCGTGATATTGCAAGAATCCAGCCAGGTAAGTAGTCCGCAAGACC